TTGCTTGACTATTGGTGATCCACGTCATATAACTATTGTTTTTCATAAGCTGCATTGAGCCATTTGAAGCTTCTCTGTGACTCTGACCTTGCCAGTGGTGTTTGTAGTCGCAGGTTCTGGAGAGGGCAATCACTGCTGCGATGAGTAAAGGGATGAGGAAGGCACACAGCCGCCATGCTCTGCCTCGGCCTGCTGCATTGAAGCAGCGCAGCTTTCCTCCGACGTACAGCGCCGTGAAACCCAATCCTGCAAAGGCGACTGTGACCAAGGAGAAAGGATAGACAGGGTGGTCAGAGCCAGAGGAAGTTTCATACAGAAGAGAACTCAAAGAGAAAGGGCAGGGATTTGACATGGAGAGACATTTTTTTAGAGTAACGTGGGATGTTCTCCTGCTTATACAACAAAATAAGACCCTGGAGGCTAAAATACACTTACATACATCTATTTTCAGATATACCACATGCCCTCTTGCCCCACTTCGTGCATTTGTTGTTTTGCTTTGTTGCCTGCTGAGGAAAATGTACCAGCTACTGATGCATAATCAACCATGAAAGGCCCTTACAGGAAGAGTGTCCGCTGGGAAAGCTCTTCCTGCCCTCCATGACAACATCTGGGTCACCGCTGCAGCGCAACTCCAGGTTCATCTGACCGTCTGGGAAACAGCGATAGAAGAAGTCTGGCCGTGGCCTGAGGGAGGGACAAACACAGGACAGATTCAAGCTTTTTATTCCGCTGTGTAACATTATCATCTGCTAGGTTGTCTACAGTGTTTACCTGCCAACGACAAGTTTGATGACGTTGGTGAAAACTCCGTTCAGCACCAGAGTCAAACTCACAGCTGGATGACAGAGAGAAACAACAGAGTCAGCTCAAAAAACTGGTTGACAATTTTTGTTTTAATATAAAAAAAAATGTCTGGATGCAGCTTTCTTACCCAGCGAGGCCTCCTTCACATCTCCTCGCTCTGACTTCTTCAAGAAGGCGAAGACCAGGATTACAATCAGTGGGGTGAAAACTGCCACACTCTGAGGCACAAAAAACAGGAACAGTTTTAATCCACTTATAGGGAAATGAATGTCTGTCTGTAAGCATGAACATACACAAGTTTTTCTGTGATTGCTTCTTTGTGCTTCTACTAAAATGGGGACTATGCCAGTGTTCATAATCCAGGTTACTTACACAAAATCCTACAAATATTGCAATTTTTGGGAAGCACACACTTGTTTAAACAGACTTTTCCAGCAGCCACAGAATAAAAATCAACTTGCAGAGAGACTTGTTTTAATAAGGTCAGATCTATGGCAATACTGTAAGCGTTAATGTCCACCGTACTGATTTAGTCTGTGACATTTTTGCTGAGCAGTGCTGCATATGAAAGATCTGCAGTGGCAGACACGCCACATCCACTGTGGTAGATTTTGCCATCTGAAGCAACGATCAGGATTCACATAGGGAATCAATCTAAAAACTTATGATCTGCTATTGGAGAATCTTTGTCAAACTGATGGTGACTAATGTGCTAAAAAGAAACATTGGTATGGTCCTTTACTAAACACAGTAGGAGGGAAGTAATTGTTGCCAGGCATCAGGTAAGAGGCCAAAAGACTGACCTGAGGGATTTAGTATGTTCATTTTATCTCAGAGGCATGCAGACGTATAACTTACAAACATAAGAGAGGTGGGCACGTGGTCTCTCTCCACACGATGGAATTTATACAACCACATCTCCTCTGGTTGGATCTCACGGTAGAAAGGAGGAAGCTGCTCCGTCACACTACACAAACACAAGAAGAGCAGTATTATAAAAACTGTGCCTCCCTTTTAAATGATGGATCCATAAAGCAATGATGCAAATCATTCAAACGGTGGTCAAACTTACAGGAACACAATCAACAGAGCCATCCGGATGGAAACTTCGGACAGGAAACCACGAAGCAGCCTCCTCTTCATTTTGATTCTTGGAGTGGACTTCAGTCAACAGCAAACATCATCACTCCACTTTCTTTTAACTTAACTGGGACTAAACAAAATGGAGAGCGGAGTTTTAGTTTATGCCATTAGTATGGGTGTCTAAAAGGAAAAATAAAGTAATAACGAATGATATATGAGACATTAAGGGAATGCAAGTGGAAAAACAGTAGATCTGATTACTATAAACTTCAGTTACATTCAGCAAATATACAATTGAAATTATAGAATCATTTTTTATTTCTGAGGTAACTGCAAAACAACACTATTTCCTTTTGTGAAGAAAAACTGATGTCTTTGTACCACGATTAATATCACAATTCATTTCTCATCATCATCTTGCGATATATCTTTACATAGCCAGTGATAAGTTAATATTAGTTGATTTAATGGCCTGTAAACCTTAAACATAGTTTATTACTATAGACATGTCTAAAAAAGTTTGATTGAATTGAAAATATATGCAGGGTGTAAAGGAGGGTGAAATATCGTTGTGATCTGAAGAAAAACATCAGTGCATCTCTAGGTTTCAAAGTGCAAAACCCAGTATCACAAACAACTCCTCAATGAGCTGCACAGTCCCACACCAGCAGAGGATACTGACCCTTGCCCCTCAGTTGTTAGTTGCCTCTACAAAGGAGGAAAACACTACCCAAAACCTGTTTTCTACAATAAACCTCCACCAGTATATACACCTGGTAAAATATCAGTAAAGATAATGTGAAATATGTTTGAGCTCCTCCTGTGTGCAGCCCTGTTTAAAACCTCATCTACAGGCCAACATGCTGCTGCCCCTGAGTCTACCACCTCTATTTAAAAAGCTGCTATTCAACTGCACACAACATTAAGCTTTTTAAAAATAACAATATTAAATGTGCGACTCTCCAGCCTCTGTCAAAGCACAGAACAACACAAACATTACCTCCCTGTGTTGTAAGAAAACAAGATGCTAGCACACTAAGCTAAGCTATTTAGCAACATCTGTCAGCAAGACATCTGGCTCATTTCCGCGTTGTCAAACAGGGTTAAATCCCGGTTACGTTACTAACCTCTAACAGGTCGTTGTCTTTATCTCTTTGTCCTCATATTAACGTGTGCTGTTAACACGAACCGGGCCTCCACATCCTCTGCTTGTGTCGAGCATTTGGAGACTTGAGACAGAAACAGGGATGACTCTCAGAGGAAGCGTACGGTTGCACCACAGCTGCTTCCGGTGTTTTACACAATAAGAGTATGTTTTATTTTCAACATAAGAGCCACTCTCGCTTGGGACCGTGTGACACAAGTTTTTATCAGCAGGTTAAACTAGAAATATGTTTTCTTTGATGTTATGTTTTCTCTCGAAATGTCTAGTTATTTTTCCAATCTTATAAATTAAGTCCCTGAGAACATTGCAGTAAAAGCTAAGTAAGAGGTTCATTTGGTTATACGTAATTAAAAAGTAATCAGTAAAATGTACTTAAATTAATGTACCACTTGTACTGCGTGTTGACTTGACTTGTCAATTAATTTATGAGAAGGCAAATTTGTTTACTACTGGAAATTTGTTGACAAATATTTAGAACATTTCTCAATTTTAATCATTATTGGCATATTTTTATTATCAGATTGATCGATTTTGATTCTATACTGCATGTTTCTTCAGTTTAACTGTGTTACTTAGGCCTTATAGATTAAATGAGCATGACTCATGTTTGATAACATCTGGATTTCACATATTTGTCTCATTTAGTGTAAATATTAATCAAGGACATCTGATTAATGTATACATGACCACTGTACCAATTTATGGTTTAAATGTGCCACAAATATTTATCCCATACGCACTGGAGTTAATTTAAATGAATAACCTGACAAACACTTTGTTTTATAAACCGGAAATGGTCGTGTAGATGATTTTATGTGACTTGACAAGTGGATGCAAGAAGCCACGTCACGTTACAGGATGCCACCTAGAGGTTAAATCAGTGATGTTTGTATGAGTTTTTATTTCCCTGTCCAATCAATTAAACTAGTTCCTCTTGTTTGACAGTGTTATAGTTTGAAGTTTCCTTATTTCTGACTCTCAAGCATGTGTGAATGTCAGGAGACTATTGGAGGGTTTACCTTTTAAACTGGGTAAATCTGTTACCATGGACACAATAATGATGAATTGTTTTATTTCTACTAAGTGTGGAATCAACATTAGATCTTATTTTATCTTGTTTTTGTCAGATTACTTTTTATTATTTATAGTAGTTGACTACTTTGTGATTAGCTGTCATCTGATTGGTAAACATATTGTAAAAATCTGTCTTTTACAACCAGTTAAATCAAGTCGGTCAATCTATATGACATTCGCTGAGTCATATACAGTGAGAGCGTTTCACTGAGACAGAGTACAGCTTTATTAAAGTCAAACTTCAGGCATGTCTGAACTCTTCAAACTCAACTTTAGAATGAAAAAGGACAGAATCAATATTCTCAAATAAAAAGACAGTCATGTACAAAAAGAGTGTCGTCTCAACAGTCACACACATTTAGAAGCAGAATTGTACAGGCAAAAAGAGAGCACGCCACAGTAACATGATTCTATGCAAGTTCAATGCAAACTATTTACAGGTTCTTCAACAATATGCAGTATGCAGTAACACAGGTTGAACAGTAATCAACATGGTATTTTGTGTTCATCCACGTTTTAATTGAAGCAACACCAAGAGAGATAGATATGACCCCAGGTAGAGTTACCGTAAGTAATTTTACTACAAGTAAAAAGAGATGAGTGCTTATGAAGGTGGATTTATTTATTTATTCCAACACTATTTCTCCTCTGACAGCATGTCAAATAAAACCTTAATGACAGTCGGCAACATTGCACAAAAACCAAAAGACATCACAGTTAACTGAAACATACCCTTTGACAAACAAGAGGTTAGGGGGGTGGTCCATCCTAAATTTACGTGTACATGAAAAATATTCATAATTAGCAAAAATTCCTGGACAAAATCTTCCTCAGGCGATTTAAGGGTCACTTAACTGAGAACAAACATGCTGTCTCTTTAAAGAAATGTGGGCACTACAATGAGAATAAACCAACAAAACATACACATCAGATAGTATTTTTAACAAAATGAAATGTACGCTGGGACACTTAAATCAGGCATACGTAATACTGCGGCTGTATCAGCTGACGAAGGACAGAAGAGGACAAACTGGCACAAAGTAATTCATGATCATGCAATCTGTAGGTGCAAAAAAATAAAGGCTGTTCGGTTCTTTTGCACACACTGTGCAATGTGGTTAAAAAAAAATAATAAAGGAACACAAATAAAAACAAAACATTGGCATTAAAATCAGGCATTCAAAGACTCTCCAACTGAATACAGAAGTGGGTTAAACCAGTGTCTGATGCTGGAAGCTGAACAGTCACCTTGAGAAGAAAGAAAGGCTGTAAGACCAGTTATATAATCACAAGTCATCAGTCAGACAGTTTTTTTTCTGAAGACACAAAAGTCAAGGATTCCTATGTAAAAAAATAATACATTAATAAATAAAAAAATAAAGAAAATTCAAGTTTAGACACGCAGACCGTTGTAAGTATGTAAGTAAAGGTGCATTAATGATGCACCTACCTGATATTGAGCATATTGTACTGAAGTGGCCTAATTCCTACAGCTAACTGAGCAATGATAAGTCTCTGAATGGGAGTTTGGCAAATTGGGAGCAGTGCTTAGTCGCACGAGGAAATCAGCAAGTTTAATCTTTTTTTTTTTAAATCAGGAATCTACGAAAAATAGTGGAAAGGCTTCCTAAAAAAGGGTTCGATAACAGAAAGAAAGAGAGTTAGTTGTTGAATGCAGAAAGGTGAGAACACTGAATCGTCTCAATTTGTGCAAAAAAAACAGGCATT